AGAAACCAGCCTAAAAAGGCCGAGAATACCCAAAATCAGAACCCCTCTCCCTCTACAGGGGATTGCAGTTCCTCATCAGCAACAGAACAAGCCCTGATGGAAAAGGACTGTGTTCCATTATCTGAAGTACACTTCAGAAGGTGGATGATAAGAAACTTCTGGGATTTAAAAGAACTTGTTCTAACCCAATGTAAAGAAACTAAGAACTTTGAAAAAAGGTTTGACGAAATGCTAAAAAGAATAGACAATATAGAGAGGAATATAAATGAACTAACAGAGTTAGTTAATGAAATAAATGAAATAAAATGAGAAGACAAGAATAGAGTAAAAAGGATAAAAAGGAATAAGCAAAGTCTCCAAGAAATATGGGACTATATGAAAAGACCTAATCTACGTTTGATAGGTGTACCTGAATGTGGCAAAGAGAATGAATCCAAGCTGGAAAATACTCTTCAGGATATTATCCAGGAAAATTTTCCCAATCTAGCAAAGCAGGACACTATTCAACCCCAGGTAATACAGAGAAAACCACAAAGATATTCCTCAAGAAGAGCAACCCCAAGGCACATAATCATTAGATTCACCAGGGTTGAAATGAAGGAGAAAATACTAAGGGCAGCCAGAGAGAAAGGTCAGGTTACCCACAAAGGGAAGCCTATTAGACTTACAGCAGATCTCTTGGCAGAAACCCTACAAGCCAGAAGAGAGTGGGGGCTGATATTCAACATCCTTAAAGAACAGAACTTTCAGCCCAGAATTTCATATCCTGCCAAACTAAGCTTCACAATTGAAGGAAAAATAAAATCTTTTATGAACAAGCAAGTACTCAGAGATTTTATTACCACCAGGCCTGCTTTACAAGAACTTCTGAAAGAAGCATTACACACAGAAAGGAACAACCAGTATTAGCCTTTCTAAAAATATACCAAAAAGTAAAGAGCATCAACATAAAGAAGAATTTACATCAACAAATGGATAAAACAGCCAGTTAACATCAAATGGCAGTAATCCTAAATTTAAATCGACTAAATCCCCCAATCAAAAGATACAGCCAAAAACCTAATGGTATACTACACCCAGACCCATTTTATATCCAAATATACACAAAGACTCAAAACAAAAGGTTGGAGAAAGATTTACCAATCAAATGGAGAGCAAAAATAAATAAACAAAAAGCAGGAGTTGCAATTCTTGCATTTGATAAAATAGATTTCAAAGCAACAAAGATACAGTGGTAAAAGGATCAATGCAACAATAAGAGCTAACAATCCTAACAGCCAGATACATAAGACCCATAAAGAGATTTAGACTCAACGAGACAGAAAATCAATAAGGATCTCCAGGACTTGAACTCAGATCTGGAACAAGTAAACTTAATAAATATTTATAGAGCTCCCCACTTTAAATACACAAAATATACATTCTCCACTTTAAATACACAAAATATTGATTGGCCATTATTAATAACCGTTCTTAGAATAAAGCAATATTCCTGTTCTCTCTCCCTCTTTTTCTTCCTCTTTCTTTCTCTCCTTCTCTCCTTCTTTTTCTTTCAAAATAAATAAATAAAACTTCACTAGAAGACACAATGAAGTGGTCAGACATTTCTACCTAATTATAATGAACTTTTAGATTTAGGAAAAGTAAGACTGTATACAATTGACTACTTTATTAGTATTTGACATTATGGAAGAGGGCAAAATGAATATATATACATAGAATTTCAAGAAATGCAGACTGACACAGGTGTGTTGTATTGGGATTCAAATACAATTTATATTACTTCCTACTACACAATTTCTGAAATGGTGAACAACTCTTGATAAAGTTGTAGAATTAAACAAAGTATAATTCCCCCTCAAATTTTCATGGAAGTTACATTCTTGGAAAATTCCACAGAAAAATTATATTCTGAAAAAAAAAAAGAAAGAAAGAAAGCCTCAGATGGGCATGTGTACAACTTCCGAAACACACTGCATGTGTTCAGTTCCCAATGGTAAGGAGGGAACTGCACATGTGGGAAGCATCCCCCAGGGAAGAATCATGGGAAACTTATGAAGTCCTAAGTTCAAGGTTCAATATGCTCTTTGACCTTCAGGTGCCCACTAGACTCTCTTCCAAAAGAATGTTCCTTTCTTTCCTGTTCTAAGGCCTTTTAAAAATAAACTTACACTCCTGCTATGAGACTTTTCTTGGTCTCTTTTTTCTGCTTTATGCCCCTTGGTCAAATTCTTTCTTCTGAGGAGGCAAAAACTGAAGTTGCTGCAGACACATGTGATATGCTGCTGGTAACCCACAGTAACATGGATACCTGCCACTGGTAATAGTTTGAAGAATATTTATATCTCAGAATAGAATGTTAGTAGAAATAGGAACATTAAAGGTTCTTCTAGGGACTCAGAAGAAAATGAAAGACATGTTGGAAACTAGAAGAAAGCAACTCTTTATCTAGATTGTTCTAACTTTTACAACTCCAGTCCATGACATGATGTGGCAAGAGAGATAAGTAAAATATCACCATTGGATACTACTCATCAAATACCTAAAGGCCTTATGAAAGGCAACCTCATAGAAGACAAGGTTCTGCATAAGCATGTATTTGATACCTTATAATACTTTAGTCAAATTAAGGATAATTTTAGGATTGAATGGTTGCTTCTAACCACACTGGAGAAAACGGGGAAAGAAAAAGATGAGATAAGGGATTCAGATTCCCAACTCGAACTATGCAGACCCTACCAGTGTCTGAATTAAAATGCAAATTAAATTCTAAACCTTGCAGGGTGTCCTCTATTAAAATGAGAACACTGATTGAAAGTAATGGGAACTTGAAAATTGGAATGGGAACATATGGGAAGATACCGATAAGCTGGCGATAACAAACCTCTCAATTCTGCTGAGATTTCTTTGCCAGTTGCTGAGTATATCTATTCCAGTTATGCATTCTGGAACCACAGAAATAACTTCAGGAACAATAACAGCTAGGGGGCAATAACTTGTAGAGCTGGGGTAAGCTTCTCTAGGAGGTTATAAATGTTATGAATTAATGTCCAATATAGGGTACTGTTTCTTCCATAGCCAAGGTTTATGGGTTCAGAATTCCAGAATGTAGCTCATGCCATGATGTGACAACAGAAGAAATGAAAATATCAGCACTGGATAGTACTAATCAAATGACTTTAAAAAGGCAATAATGCAAAAGGAAAGCTTCTGGGTGACCATGAAATGGGAATGGCCCTACTAGAATTACCCTACTAGTGATCCAATAGAAAAAATTTTGATTTCCGTCTTACAGTGTTTCTCTCTGTGTGCCTAGAGGTCTCAGTTTCACAGGGAGAAACGCTTTCACCCAGAGTGACCCAAATTATACCCTTGAATTTGATATATATTGAAATATAGGAGATACTATGGGGCATATCTGAGTACTTTTGTGTCCTATGATTAAAGTAAATGAAAAATACAACAGTTCAAATCAGACAGGACTATTAATGGTCCAGATTCTGCAACAATGAAGATTTGGGTCACTCTAGTAGGCAAAGGGAATATGGAATGTGTAGTGGAAAATAGTTCTAAATGAGAGCTGTGACTATGTAATCACTGATACAAGGACTCTAATTGTTAGGATTGTTTCTTAATTATTTTGTTCTGAATATGTTTGGGAGCTGTAGCACTGTGTGAGGCAGGGCAAGTCTCAGTGGCACACACCATGGAGCTTCCCTCTCTTATTGCATTCACATCCAATATAAGATATATTAATAATAGTTAATTTTACATCACAGTTTTTAAGTTACAGAATTATAGAGGAGAAAAGCAAACATCATCCAATGACTATGCATTGCCTTGGTGAGGAAATGATTAATGTGTTTTCAATTGTATGTTGCACAGTTGGCAAAAATATGACTTTGTTATAGTTTTAATTTGCATACTAATTAGGCTTAAGTGGATGTGTATGTATAGGTGCCAAGTTGCTAAGACTAAAATATGACATTTAGTTTTATGTGTCAACTTGGATGGACTGTATTACCTGCCTATTCAATTAAATACTACTCAAGATGTTGCTGTGAAGAGATTTGTAGTTGTGGTTAACATCGACAATCAGTTGACTTCAAGTAAAGGAGAATATCCTTGATAATCTATGTGGACCTAATCCAATTACTAAAAACCTAGAGAACAAAGCTCAAGGAACTACAAAATTGGAAAAGAGAAAAGGGATTTTTTCTAGAACTCCTGCAATACCTTGGATCTGCACCAGGAAAACCCAATTCAGATAACTGACCTCAAGAACTATAAGACTCTTAAGTTTCTATTGTTTTAAGCCACTCATGTTGTGGTACTGTATTACAGGGCCAATAGAAAACTCATATAGGACAGATAAGCAGGTAGAAGGAAGATAGGTCTATGGGCAGACAGGCTGGAGGGCAGGAAGAAGATCAGGATTTGAGTGGACAGTCAGGAATGCAGGTGGGTAAGACACAGACAAGTAGGTAGGGACCCTAGGGAAAGATGAAAGAGAGAAGAGAAGACAGATTAGGGGAGAGTAGACAGAAGAACAGGCAGGAGGGAAGAAGAGCAGGTAAGCAGAAAGTGGGATGTGGGCAGTCAGGCAGGGGTTGAGAGCAGGGGACGGGAATACGGTATGCTAAGTGGAGGCCCTCAGAGCCAGTCCTTGTCCCCACAAGAAATAGACAGCCTCCTGCAACTCAGAGGCAGAGGTTGCAGCTTGAAAGCTGGTGGGAAGAGATCTCATTCAACCATCTCCATGGAGGGGCCCAGGCAAAGCCCTGCACAGCATCTGGCCCCTAACATCTCAGCTTCCCATACCTGCCCTGCCTCACACAGTGCTATGGCTCCCATCCCTGACCACACACCCACTCCCACACTCATGCTGAACTCTACTGGTGGCTCAGATGGGGGCAGTAAAGTCCCCAGCCTGAGTGTGTTTCAGCTCCTGTATTTGCACCTTCTGCCTGAGGGGTCAGGGTAGGCTCCTTTAGCTGTACCTGGAAAGGGGTGGGTGATAAATGGAGGAGATAGAACCTGTGTGCTGATGGGCGAGCTGGCAGGTGTGGTGTGTCCAGTGGGCAGCAGGGGTCAGGCTGTAGATGGCATCATTCTGGTGAAAGGCATTTCTCATAAGAGGAAAAATCCCCAGGTTGTTCAGAGCCCCAGTGGCCTGGATGTTGGACTGAGAATTCCTGAAAGATAGGGTGCAGAAGAGACACGATTCTGGACTGCCTCTGACTTGGAGGTGGAGTGTCGTCTGGGTGGAGATGGCCTCAAGTAGTGGGAACAGGCAACTCTGAGGCCTTTGTCATTTCTATATTATATCCCTTGATTCTCAGACATTTATAAGAAGGCATGAATAGTCTGGTTATATGTGAGCTAGGATTCAGGGGTCTGTGTCTGAGTCATGGTTGTTCTGGTTTGGAATGGAGCTTGGTCAATAGCTGCATCAACCTTCATGGGGAGGGGTGGCTCCAAACTGCCCCACCAGCCCTTCAGATACATCTATTCTAGTTGGATAAAGAAGGACACTGACCTTGAAGGATTATCACTGACCTGTCCAGCTGAAGGCTGCCCTCGTGGCTGAAGGCACACTTCATTATGGTGTCCAGGGTCATCAAGATGGCCTGAAAGACCTCCAGAAGGAAGTCTTGGCTGATGAGCTCCTCCCATTTGTCCTGAGGTGGGAGGGGGCATGGACCTCCTTAATTTTCTCAGGAGTCCTTTGTTAATAAGGCTTGGCTTTTCCCTATATTTGAGATTTCCTGTTCAGATTCTTCTCTAATTGCAGAGAAGATGCATTATTGCATTATAACATATTAACTGGAAATCAAGTGTTTGTAAAATGACATCTGTACTCTCAAAAATTGTATTGCAAAATTAAAACGAGCTTCTCATATGATCAGAATTAACTTTTGGATATTGTTAACCTGTGTAATCACTTGGTTGATGAGAAATGTATATACATTTTTTAGAGGACAAAAACTGGAAGGACTCTTCAGTGTTCTGAAAGCAGAAGTAGACCTGAGCGATTGTGGAAACCTCAGCAGTAGGGAGCAAATATATCAAGGCAATAGAAGCCTAAGAGGACAGTATGGGCAGCCCTAGTGTAGGGACATGGGGCCCTTCAATTCTTTTTCATTCAACAAACAACTTCTGAGTAGAGTTAGGTAAGAAATAAGAGAGTCCTGAGAGTATGGTAGGTCTGGCTCTGATAATGTAGATCTGGTGTCTATTTCACTCCTTACATGGCTCAAATCCATGCAGAAGCTCTGGGCCCCAGGTCAGAGCCTGGGTTGCTGATATCTGGACCTATGCACCATGCCACCGAAGCTGCCATTGCTGACCTACCTTTGATCCATTTTTGTGTCCTGGTGTTGCCCAGCATTGGCAGAGGGACAGAGCAGCACAGTGAGAGTAGGGACTGGCTCTATGCTTCCTTACTGAAACTTTCCATTCTCTTACCTCCAGGCTATTGACTGGAGAAAATGATGCAACTGTGTGCCAGTGACCTTTTGCATGGAACCTGCTATGCAATTTCTACTAGTTTCTAAGTCTTTTAACAGCTGACTTGCCAACACCCCCCAGCAATAACCATAGCAGCTGTTCTGAATCTCTGCTCTACTCAGCCATTTAATAAATTCCCTGCCCCTGCCATGGCAGAAGATGCTCAGAATTCTCTGAAAAATAAAGCTAGGTTATCCAGCATCAGAGATATAATCATCCTGTTTCCTCCTCCCACTCTTTCTATTTTGCTTATATGTTTGTCTTCCCAGTTGAACCACTTCAAAACCCAAACTACTGGAAGATGGCATGGTAGGAGCAACTCAGGATTGCAGCTCTCTGTGAAGGGGCAGAGGGTGAGTCCAAGCCGCATTTCCAGACAGACCTTTGTTGCCCACAGAATGGGGAAATTCCCAGGTGTAGGAGAGATGCGGGACACCAGCGCAGCCCTTTCGGCTGGCGTGGCTGTTTCTGCTGGTGCCACAGCACAGCAGCACTCTGCACAATACATGCTGGTCTGGGTGCCCTGTTAAAATGGCAATCTGAGATTTGGGAGGGCAGGTTAGCATATCCATCTGATTAAATGGGACTTGGACAGTGAGCCAGACCAGGAGATTCCCTGGAAGCAACATTTGAGCCGGCGCAGTGGGTTGCTGCATGGGAAATCACACAGATTCCAGTGCCTTATCAGCAGGCGACTGAAACACCTGGGAGAGAGTCAACTGTTCAACTTAAAAAAAAAAAAAAAAGAAAAGGGAAAGGGCCCTGAGACAGGGAGCCAGGTGATCAGGCTCGGTGGGTCCCACCCCCACAGGGACAAACAAAACGGTGATTCAAAATGCTCAGGGTTGAGAGTTTCACTGCAGGCACAGCTGAATCCAGGACAGTGCAGCTTGGTGGGGGAGGGGCGTCCGTCATTACTGAGGCATTCTGCCCCTACTGAGGTACACTCCCATTGTTAACACAGCCTGCCATTGCTGAGGCAACCCGCCATAAAAGAGAGACTCTGCCAACAGGTCACAGCCCACGACAGCAGGGTGGAGCCCATGGCAACAAGGCAGACACCGTGGTAGCAGGGTGAAGCCTCGGCAGGCAAATAGTGAATAGACTGCCTCCTAGCTGGGTAGGACAGTGCAACAAATACTCATAAAGAAATCCCTAACTCCCTGAGACAGAGCATCTGAGGAAAAAAAGGGGTTTTATAAGTTCTGCTGCAGCAGACTTAAATGCACCTGCCTAACAGCTCTGAATGAACAATGGAGCTCACAGCTCAGCACTTGAGCTCCTATAAAGTACAGACCATCCCCTCAAGCAGCTCCCTGACCCCTGTATATCCAAAGAGTCACCTCAAAAAGGACTGATCAGACTGACATTTGCAGGCATCATTCTGGGACAAAGATAGCAGAAGAAGAAACTGGTAGCATCCCTCACTGTTCTGCAGCTGCTACAGGTGTACCCGAGACAAGCAGGGCCTGGAATAGACCTCAGCAGTCATACAGCAGAGGGGCTAGAGTGTTAGAAGGAAAACTAACTAACAGAAATACTTCATCATCAACAACCTGGGCATCCACTCAGAGACCCAATCGAAATGTCAGCAACTACTCAGACTACAGGTGGATAAATCCAAAAAGATGGGAAGAAACCAGCACAAAAGGAGGAAAACACTTAAAACCAGAACACCTTGCCTCCTACAAGAAACCACAACTCCTCACCAGCAAGGGACCAAAGCTGGATGGAGAATGAGTGTGATGAAATGACAGGATCAGACTTCAGAAGGTGAGTAATCAGAAACTTCCGTGAGCTAAAAGAACATGTTCTAACTCAATGCAAAGAAACTACGAACCTTGAAATGAGATTCGAGGAAATGATAACAAAAATGGACAACTTAGAAAGGAATATGAGTGAATTGAAGGAGCTGAAAAACACAACATGAGAACTTCATAAAGCATGCACAAGTTTCAACAGCCGAATTGACCAAGCAGAAGAAAGGATATCAGAAGTTGAAGATCAACTCAATGAAATAAAACGAGAAGGCAAGAATAGAGAAAAAAAAGCACCAAAAGGAATGAACAAAGTCTCCAAGAAATGTGGAACTATGTGAAGAGATCTAATCTACGTTTCATAGGTGTACCTGAATGTGATGAAGAGAACGAATCCAAGCTGGAAAATACTCTTCAGGATATTATCCAGGAAAATCTCCCCTACCTAGCAAGGCAGGCCAATATTCAAGTCCAGGAAATACAGAGAACACCACAAAGATATTCCTCAAAAAGAGCAACCCCAAGGCACATAATCGTGAGATTCACCAGGGTTGAAATGAAGGAGAAAATGCTAAGGGCAGCCAGAGAGAAAGGTCAGGTCACCCACAAAGGGAAGCCCATCAGACTCACAGCAGATCTCTCGGCAGATACCCTACAAGCCAGAAGAGAGTGGGGGCCAATATTCAACACCCTTAAAAAAAGAACTTTCAACCCAGAATTTCATATCCAGCCAAACTGAGCTTCAGAAGTGAAGGAAAAAATAAAATCCTTTGCAAACAAGCAAGTACTCAGAGATTTTGTCACCACCAGGACTACTTTACAAGAGCTCCTGAAAGAGGCACTACACATAGAAAGGAAGAACCACTACCAGCCATTCCAAAAACATACCAAATGCTAAAGAGCATCAATAAAATGAAGACTCTGCATCAACTAATGGGCAAAACAGCCAGCTAGCATCAAAATGGCAGTATCAAATTCCCACATAACAATACTAACCCTAAATGTAAATGGGCTAAATGCACCAATCAAAAGACACAGACTGGCAAATTGGATAAAAAACCAAAACCCATTGGTGTGCTGTATCCAGGAAACCCATCTCACATGCAAGGATACACAAAGGCTCAAAATAAAGGGATGGAAGAAGATTTACCAAGCAAATGGAGAGCAAAAAGAAGCAAAAGTTGCAATTCTCGTCTCTGATAAAATAGACTTTAAAGCAACAAAGATCAAAAGAGACAAAGAAGGTCATTACATAATGGTAAAAGGATCGATACAACAAGAAGAGCTAATGATCCTAAATATATATGGACCCAATACAGGAGCACCCAAATATATAAGGCAAGTTCTTAATGACTTACAAAGAGACTTAGACTCCCACACAATAATAGTGAGAGACTTTAACACTCCACTGTTAATATGAGACAGATCAACTAGACAGAAAATTAACAAGGATATCCAGGGCTTGAACTCACACCTGGAAAAAGCAAACCTGATACACATTTACAGAACTTTCCATCCCAAATCCACAGACTATACATTTTCTCACCACCACATCACACCTACTCTAAAATTGACTACATAATTGGAAGTAAAGCACTCCTCAGCAAATGCAAAACAATGGAAATTATAACAAACAGTCTCTCAGACCATAGTGCAATCAAGTTAGAACTCAGAATTCAGAAACTAACTCAGAACCACACAGCTTCATGGAAACTGAACAACTGGCTCTTGAATGTTGACCGGATAAACAATGAAATGAAGGCAGAAATAAAGAAGTTCTTTAAAACCAACGAGAATGAAGACACAACATACCAGAATCTCTGGGACACATTTAAAGCAGTCTCCAGAGTAAAATATATAGCAATAAGTGCCCACATGAGAAGAATGGAGAAATCCAAAATTGACACCCTATCGTCAAAACTGAAAGAGCTAGAGGAACAAGATCAAAAAAAACTCAAAACCTAGCAGAAAACAAAAAATAACTAAGATCAGAGCAGAACTGAAGGAGATAGAGACACGAAAACCCCTTCAAAAAAATCAGTAAATCCAAGAGATGGTTTTTTGAAAAGATCAACAAAATAGACAGACCACTAGCCAG